ACAAACCTCCAGCAATCCTGACAACCAACACACTTTTATCACAGCAAGAAACTCTTTCAACAGGAGTAAAACTCTGAAAATTGAAGTGAACATCCTACTTGACTGCTCTTTCTACATAGCAGCCTGTGTGGCAGTAGTATTTTTTTATTAAATTTGTGTATAAAAACTACATGAAAGGAAAAGGGCTTAAATATAATGCATACATATGCATTATTTTCTGTTGTAACAGAACTATAAATGATGTTTGCATCAACAGCCTCTACAGGTTGGATCAATATCGCAGGTGGGATGAGGCTAAAATCAAGGCTGGTTTATTTTGGCTGAAGACCTGCAAGGCTTCCTGACTTTCCAGCAGTAGTAGATAAAACCATCAACCAACACCTAATGAGACACTTTGCAATAGTCATGAAGAATGTGCAGTCAAACATGAGTAGAAATGGCGTGTGACTGCAAAAAATACTGACTTCTCAGTGTTTTATTTGCTTTTGTTGTCTGTAATAAGGAAATAATGTGTGTGAGTTAGAATGTATGGCTATGTGACAGTTGTTTTTTGAAGGTATGGATGATTGTTAAATAAGGTCTCAGAGCATGCTTGAAAGAGCTGCAGATTATTTTTGAAGAAATTTTATTTTATTAGATCTAATCCTCATAGTGTGTAAATGTTAGGACATTTAATAATATTTTAAACTGGGATTTCCCAGTGTTTCTAAAAGAAATAATATATCTGTTAACTTTATTGGAATGCTGCTCAGTTCTCTGACCAGTGCTTATGTTACAAATATTGATAACAACTAACCAAAAAGTAGCTGCCTGCAGAGACTTTAAAATGTATATTAAAGATATATGCTGCCCATCAGCAATTCTCCTTAGAAGTTAACTTATTTTATTCTGTATATATTCTAGAAACTGTATAGTGCAAAACCAGTATTTTTTGTGTAAATTTGTGCAATGCACTGTTAAAACAGTAGGTGTATAAAGCTATGAGGAGAAGGGGGTATTCCCTCTTGGTAGTCACATGCAGTACTTGCAGTCTGAGTAGCCTGCAGGGTTTGAAGAGTTTGAATGCATGTATATGCATCTTCATGACTCAACTGAAGCCTAAGGAATTTGGACTATAGAAAAAAAAGACAAAAAAAAAAAAACAACCCTGACTACCAAAACATGCAAACAGGCAATATACTCATAGTTTAGTCTGTAGCATAAACCAAACTGGATTCTGTTGAAACCAATAGCATTTTGTAGGAAAAAACAAAAAAAAAAAAACAAAAACAGAACAAGAAAAAAAACAAACCGAGAAAAAGAATGTAGTCCCACAATTCCTATGATTTGAAAGGAACACCCAGTATTTTTATATACATCTCTTACCCACTGTGATATTTTTTAATGGGCTCTAATTCCAGAGTTTAGAATGTAGAATTGAAATTCTTAGCTCTGCCTTTTTGGGGGAATTAGACCCCACTAGAAATATAATTATGCTGAAATGCATTAATTGAAGGCACTGTGCACGCTGTTGGACTGCTGACAGTAGTTATCCTAACAAATTCTGTAACTGGTCAAGGCACATTCATAGTCACTGTATTTTTTTCCCTGTCCCTGATAAAACTGAATTATTTTGATGGTTTTGTGGTACTGTAGATGGTGTTCTTAATTATTTAACTAGTATTTACAGGGGAGAGGTAGTTTTATTTAGGGGCGCATTACACTTTTATTTACATCATCTTTTACCAGCTTTTTTTTGTAAAAATAAAAGACATTGTATCTCTCATTTTGTGTATTTTTACAAGCTGGAGTTTAAATACTTTAGCTAAACAGACTAAACACTGATAGCAGAGGCCTGGATGCTCTGAAGTAGTTTTTTTCCTTGTATGTCCTTTCTTCACAGCAGCATTTTTCTAGGCATCCTTTGAAGCTGTTAATGGAGTTCTCATAAAACTCAAATTCATACATGTAATTCCTTATGTTACACATCTTCCTCCATTTATAATAGCTAGTGGAACCTGTTCTCTGGAGCAGAATTGTGTTAGCTGTCATTTGCTATTGCTTTAATTTTATTAAGATTTTCAAAAATTACTCAACTACTGTGTGAGCTGTCACCCTGTATTACCTGGTGCAAGGTCTGTGCCAAATCCAAAGCTATGGTAAAGCTGTTCAGAAACAAGCAAAATATCAGAGATCTCCTGTTAGGTGCAGCAGATACAGCACTGACTGAGCTGACAAGTGCAAAAGAATCGCTTTATGAAAAAGCTGTACAGAGCAAGTTCAGGATAGCTTTGAAGAGCCAGCACCATAAAGGCTGTTCCCTTCCACTTTGCACTTTGCAATTACAATAGGTCAGGAGTAGCTTTCCTTCTTCCTGCTGAGTCTAGTGCCCACAATCAGTGTGTGCTGGCATGACATGGCAGTAAAGCTGAAAAGTAACTAGAAAGTACAGAATTGTACTTGGGCATCAAGCAGTAAAAGCATTGAACATATTTATGTAGGAGGGGTGACATGTAGAGCTACTCTGGAAGTGAAGAATGCTGCAGGATTAAGGAAAGCTTTAATATGGATGTCCACTGCATTGTACTCCTCCAAGCCACTGAGTCTTGCAGTAGCTGATGAAAGCAGGGGTGGCCACCTTAATGATACCTGGCACTTTGAGCCTTCATCAGCTGCTGGTGAAGCACAACACCCAGTTCACATCAGCTAAGCCTGTTCCACACCTCATCATGCAGAACCAGCTACTGCTTAGACTGTAGTGCAGATGACAGCCCTTAAGTTGCACTAGATTTCACTTTGGGCTAGTACTGATAATGCTGTATCAGTCACCATATTCACAGCAAGTAATCCTCAAAGCAGTGTTTTGTGAGGATGCCTGTATAAATACAAAGCATTCAGCTGTTCATATTGCTATGATTTCATAGTGGCATGGCACAGAGCTTCAGCTCTCTGACTGACTCATTAGCAAGGTGCACAGACTCATCACAGTCAGTTTCTCAATGCATGTGTCAGGAACAGACTACAGCCACTAGAATGGGGAAGACAAACAGGAAAACCTTGAACAACATCATTGGAGGGGAGAATGCTCAGAAACAGAGATCACAGATCACAGCTGCAACTGCATAGTGAGGCAGTGGGGCCAGGTGGCTGCAGAGGGCACCAAGTGCATTCCTCAAGCTGGAGGCTTGCTACTGCTCATCACAGTGGCAGGTGAGTACAGGCAAGTACAAGGCACATGCACCTGCCCAGCTGCAGGGGTACTTTTCAAATTGAATAGGGCAATGATGGAATTTACTGTGAAAGTCTGAGCTGGTAAAGCAAGGGATATTTCCTTTTCCTGTGATACATGAAAGACACTTCAGGTAGAAGCAGGAAATAGATGCTCTTCTCTGGAGGAAGTAGGTCTCTTGTTCCCAGAACACCTCACACTGCTATAATAATGAATGCAGCAAGAATAAATAAAATTACTTGGCAATAAATTCACACTGAGGCATTAAGCCTACTGTAGCAGGTTCAAGGGGTATATTGAAATAGGGCAGGAATTTACAGCAAGGCAAATTAAGCATATAGAATAAACCATCAAACAAGACACAATGATACAAAGGATATTGTTTGACTACCCTGCCATACACTAGCTTCTGCTTGAAGAAACAAGACCACCTGGCACTGAAGCTGTTTTACAGCATGGGCTCAGGCTGGTTCTCCCTTTAGCTAATAGACTGGTCTCTCAAGTAAGCTGGATACAGGTGCAGATAAGTTTGCTATAGCAAATATAAAGATCAGTATTTTCAAAGAGAAGCTACCTCAAGAGTTCTGCACAAGCCTTGGTGACTGCTCAATTGAAAAATTAAGTGTCAGTACCATTCTCATTTTCATCTGTGTGTACCCAGCTCCATAGCTAAGAGACAGACTGGGGCAGTGGTGTAGGTTTTACTAGCTTGTGAATCTGCTCAGATGGTGATGCTCTAAGTTAGTCACAGAGTCAGCTCGTAACACTTGGCTGAAGTGTGGTATTGCTGCAGAGGACACCACCACTGAGAGCACCAATAGCCCACAGAGAGCATCATCTACAGGTAACCAGTGCTGGTTCTGCCATTACTACCAAACACTACAAGTAAAATTCCTAGCTGCAACCCCAGCCCCGGGGGAGTGTGGGAGTTCAATTCTGATGGTGGGCATGTAACCTAATTAGCTCAAACTCTTCAAATACAATCCACTAAGTGCACAGCTCCTGCACTTCACCTGCAGGCTGAAAAGGAAGACAAATAGATGCAGTATTATTGTACCTTTCTCCTCTGAAGTGTCCCTCTCTCCATAACCTTGTGCAAGATGAACAACATGTTTACCAAGAGACCATCACCATAACACCAGTGACTCCATTCCTCAGCATTTTGTGAGGACCATCCCTGAAGAGCTTGCTTTGGCTTTTGCCTACACAGACAAGAACACAAACTTAGCCAAATGCAGACCAGCTGTACGAGTAGAAGTGATTCAGTACTTACACAGCATTTCTCAATCATTTTATAGTGATGAAAAACAGGTGTAGGATACTTTGTACATTAACTAGAGGTGTGCAAAATGAGTGAATACTACTGATGGTTTGTTCGTGAAGGATAGCCTACTCTTACCTACTGCAGATATCAATTTGATGTTAACTTCAAGCATATGATTAGTTCAAGAGCAGGATCAGTAACAGAAACCCTTTCCACCTGAGAAAAGTCCACAAAGTCCCAAGTCAGCTTCCAAGACCATCACTGATTTACAATACACCTCTAGGCCTGTCACCTATGCAAGTTACAGAATTTACAATATGCACCCTCTGAGCTGGGTACAAACCCACCTGATCATTTGAGCGTGCTTTGCAATGCTTTTATTTTCATGCTTTCCTAAACTACATCTTACCGAGTACCTTCAACAACACCAACAAAACCAAAATAAATCTGCTCTACCTGCAGAGCAAGTAGAACTCTTCTTTTCTTGAAGAGCCCTAATCAAAAAAAAAAAAACCAAACCCTTCCCATTCAGATGATGTATTTGAAACTGAATGTGCTATCGCAGGAGAGGCGTTTCCCTCTGCATCTCCCACAGAGGTCCTGGCGGTGGGGCCTCTTGGGATCCACGTGGCGCATCTTCACGGGGCAGGTGCACCGCGTCTGCTTGCAGCTCTGAGGGAGAAGGCGGCGGTCGGTGAGGGCGGCCGGGCCCGGGAGTGGTCGGGCTCACGGCAGGGCAGGGATCCCTTACCTGGCAGGTGATGTCCTCCACGCGGTACGGGTTGTAGGACTTCTGGCAGGTTCGGCAGAACTGACGGAAATAGACCTGCGAGGAAGGCTGGTGTCAGCAGAGGGGCGGCGGCGAGGAGCCCGAGCCGGGGCAATCCGAGCCGGCCCTACCTTGTTGGTGCCCTGGACGCACCAAACATAGGCGCTCTCCCAGCGGATGTTGCAGGCCTTGCAGTGGTAGTACCCATACTTCTGCTCCAGGAACTGCCGGGGACAATGTTATTCGACGGTGCGGGCGCCTCCCGGGCCAGCCGGGCCCCGCTCTGCTCCCCGGCGGCCGACACTCACCTGGAAACGCAGGCGGGTCTTGCCCGCCGACGACTGCCGCTTCTGGGGTGAGGCCGACGGCTCTGCCGGCTGGGCTGCCGGCTCTGCCGGTGGCTGGGCTGCAGGCTCGGCGGCAGGCTGTGCCTCGGCTGCCTCTGCCACCTCCTCCTGGCTTGCGTGCGTCGCCGGCTCAGGTGGGGCGGCCGGGCGCTGCCCCAGAGGCTCGGCCGGGCGCTGCCCCAGAGGCTCGGCGCCACCCTCGGGGGGCTTCTCCCAGCTCGCCCGCACGGCTGCCGCCTCCGCCTCCCGCTGCTCCCGCAGCGCGACCGGCTCCTCCTCGACGGCCGCCGCCTTGTCCTGCTGCTGCGGCCGCCGCTCCGGCTCCGGGCCCGGCTCCTCCAGGAAGGCGGTGAGTCTGCGGGACGCCACGGGCGAGTAGACGGCGATGGTGCGAGGGAAGCGCACGGCACGGGTGCTGGTGGTGGCGGGGCTGCCCAGCTCCTGCCCCCGCTCCGCCTCACGGGGCCGCGGCGCGGCGGGCCCGGGGCGGCGGCGCAGCAGCGTGCGGGGTCCGAGCGAGCACTGCACCGAGGCGTCCTGCCGCGGGTTCACCTGGACGCCCACCTCCTTGGTGTTGGCCTTGCGGAGCCGCGGCGTCAGGTTGGGGTTGACCTGGGAGAGGATGGCCTTGAGCTGTGCCCGCTGGTAGTTGTCGAAGTACTCGGCGGCCGCCTCCCCGTAGCCCGGGAAGTAGCTGCTGCCCCGCGGCCGCCAGCCTCCCGCCGCTCCTCCTTTACCCTTGGGCGGTGGGTAGCGGTAGGAGTAGGGGGGGTAGGCGGTGTACAGATAGCTCGCCATCGCCTCCTCGGCCATCGCACGGGACCCGGGGTAACCCCCGGCAGGTGGCCTTAAATACCCCTGGGGCGGGGCCGCGCTTCCCTCGCCCCCGACGGGCGCCGGCCTTGCGGTCCCTTCCCATCCCCACCTGGTGCGCGGCCTTGGGCCATCCCCCACCCCCATCACAGCCCCCAATCGAACCCGGCAGCGCGGCTCTTAATTGCGTCCACGGGAGTAAACAGCGGATAACACGGGTTTGGTTCGGCTTCGCCATGTATTTGTCGTGAGAACAATGAGAACAATGCTTTTAAAGCGGGTGGGAGGCACAGAGACACACACGCGACGTATTTTTTCTGTCATCTGAACTGACACTGAGTTGGCACTGACTCTGTAGAACACTGTTTCTTCCTTCTACCCATTCCTGCTGCACTCAGCCAGGCAGCAGCCTCCTTGCATGAAGTTTTACTGTTACTGGTTTGTGTCGCAGTGATGCTTTTCTTTTTCTTTTTTTTTTTTTTTTTTTTTCATGTTTACTTTTGAGGAAGTAGAACTGTCATGGTAATAAACACATATCACCTTGTACAATGGGAGCAGCTGGAGAAACGATAGAGGCCGGACAGCTCCACTTGCACAGCAGCGAGCACAGCTCCAGCCTGGCTACAAGCACAACACACATTCATGTCTTGGGGAGTTACCTCTTTGTCCTGCCTAAAGCGCTGTCTGAGTTGGCTCCATCTGAATGGAGTTGTGCTCCTCTGTGGTCACTGTGCCATATGAAGTATCAGCTACCTCCTCTTCCTTCAGTTTCTTGTAGGAAATATCTGTGTCTTCCTCTTCACCAAGTGTATCTTGCTTGTAGCTGTCTCTTCCGTACATCTTGTATGCCAGCACAAACAGTCCCGCTTCCGCTGACTGAAAAAGCGCGTAAAGCAAGGGAAACATGTACATGCTCCCTATGAGCTCTGGGGAGAAGGTGAGTTTTAGGATGGCAGTGCAGAGCTGGACGTTTTGGCACCCCGTTTCCAAAGATACTGTTCTCCTGCAGTGTGGGGGCATTTTAAAGACAGTGGCTAAGCCGTATCCCAAGGCATACCCTGCCAAAGGCATCAGCACTGCAATGGCGTAGACAGACGCAGGAATCTGTGCCAACAGATCTGGGCCCAGCATGGTCCCAGTCAGGATGAACAGGACCACCAGAGTCACCAAGAGGGACCACAGGGAAATCTGGCAACAGATACAGACATGATAAACAACATGATAAACAACATGAGGGCTATTATTTAGAAAGGAAAAGCATACCAGGTAGAGGCTTGCTAAAGAGTCTAAACCACAAAATATGGCTGCACTGCTCTTCCCAGGTTTTCTCCTGGCCTGGGATTTTGGTGGTGTTTGATCATATCCCAGGAAAGGAAGGGGGCTGAGGTCGTCATCATTTTGGTTTGGGATGACTTGCTGGGAAACAAGAATCAGGACTTCTGCCTCACTCTTCCTTTCTCAATTAAGCTAATTCAGTTGCATGTTTTAAGAAAGCGTGACCGTGCCTGCAGGTTGGTTTTGCCTGACGTGGATGCAGAAGGTGTGGGAAGCAAGCAGGATGTCACGGAATGCCTCTGCTACAGGGTCCAGGATGCCTGCCCGGGTGCAGCACCACGCTGCCCTCCTTCCTGTGTGCTGCGATAGGGGGTAACCCGCCATCTCCCTCGCTTTCCCTGCCCCAACGTTTTATTTCAAGACTGTAAGTCTTTGTATTCCACCTAAGTAGTTGAATATGCCTGTGTGAGACTAACACCGGTTTGGGGGGACTAGAAAGCTTACTGCTTCGGCTCCCTGTCGCCGGTGCCACCCTCCTCCCCTCCAGGCGCTGTGCCTACCTTGACCAGGAGGTCGGCGGCGCGGGGGTGCCGGTATCGGATGAGCACCCCCAGGCCGATGGGCAGCAGGGTGCTGCCCAGCGTCAGGCTTACCGCCCCCAGGGGCAGCAGCTGCACCACGGCCGTGTTGATCCAGTGGCGGCTGTAGATCCAGAGGCAGAGGGGCATCAGGAAGAGGGCCAGCAGCGTGGAGGAGGCCGTCATGATAATGCTGCGCCGGGGGAAACAGAGAAATGCTCCATCACCGCGGGCCCGGTCGGGGGGAGCAGCCCCGGGAAACCAGAACCCCGCCTGGAATGGGTTCTGCAGCCGGCCGGGCACTTCCTCACGGCAAGAGCCCGCTCGTTCTCCTCTCTCCCCTCTCCATCCTCCACCTCGTTCCCCGCTCCGGCCAGGGCGCGGGCACGCAAGTTTTTAGGGAAGGAGGCAGGAAGCGTGTGTCGGGGCTGTTGTAAGATCCTTCACGGTAGGGGCAGGAGAGCGGTGCTGCCGATTCCCAGCGCGCCGTACCCGCCCGTCCCGGCTCCACCGGCGGCAGGTGCCCAGCGAACCCTCCCCGCCTCCCCCGGCCGGCTGGGGGCGAGGGGCAGCGGGGCACCTACCTCAGATTCATATCCCCGTCGACGAGCACCGACATGAGGTTGGAAAGGTTGCCCCCGGGGCAGCAGCCGCATAGCAGTACAGCCACGGCCGCCACCTCGTCCAGGGCGAAGATGAGGGCGAGGAGGAATGCCAGCAGCGGCATGGCCACGAATTGTCCCAGCAGGGCCAGCAGCAGCCCTACGGGCCGCCGGAGCTGCTGCCCCAGCTGCCCCAGCTCCACGGCGCAGCCCAGCCCCAGCATGGTCACGCAGAGCCCCAGCCCCACCAGCACGCTCAGGCCCTGGCTGAGGGAACGGTCCCCGAAGGTCTCGCCGCCCCCCGCCAGAGACCCGCCGTCGGGGCGGCCGCCCGCCGCCGGGGGCTGCGCGGAGCTGGCCATGGGCTGCGCGGCCCCGGGGAGCCGCCGGCTTCCCGCCAAGCCCCGGGGGAGAGCGCGGGTGGCGGGGCCGCCGTCAGTGCGGGACGCGGGGAGGGCTCGCCCCGGCGGGCGGCGGAGCCCGCATCCCTCCCCGGCTCCGCTCGGATCCCCGGGCGCTGCCGATGCGCCGCAGCCGCGGTCCCCGGCTGCCTGTCTGCTGCGGGCGCCGCCCGCTCGTCCCCGGACCCACGCGGGGCCACCCCCGGCGTGGGCGGTGTCTCGCTGCCGCCTCGACGGCGGTCATCGCCGGCCGCCAGCGCCGCCCGGCCCCGGCGGAGAGAAGCGCAGGCGGCGGCCGCATCCTCCTCTCCAGTGCGACCCCCGGCAGCCTCTTGTGGAGCCGGCAGGGCCCGACCTTTCCGACAGAGGACCTGAGGTACCACAGGATTTACTTTGGCGTCGGCATTACTAAAAGGTCAATTAGCGTAGCAATGTCGCGCGATGTGGGTGGGCAGCACTAGACCCCTCTGCTGAGGGTTTGCCAAGCTCGTTCCCCCTCCAGGCAAGTTGCTGTTGATGTGCAGCCTTTGGAATGTGTGAGGAAGGATGGAAAGCCCTTTTATGAGGTCGAGGAGGCACCACTTTCTGCTGGTGGGGACCCAGAAACTTGTCGGGAGAGGTGATATCTTTTAAAGGGTAGTCAGTACATGCAAAGGAAACAGTCAAGCTCAGAGTCACACAGCTATTCAAACCAGGGTAAGACACGTAATCCATCTCCCAAAAAACGCATCCAAGGGTGATTAAACTGTTTTCAGTCATAAAATTGTGCTTGCAACATTTACTTTTCATTTAATAATTGTGTGTCACCCCATTCCTTCAGAAGTGCAGTGCTGTATAGAATGCCCAACTAGCCTCACAAGGGCAGGAGTTATTGAGAGAGGAGGGCAGCTTCCAAGAGCAGGAGATAATGTCAGTGATTCTCACTCTTGGCCCTACTATTGGCCTTGTCTTAGGAATGAAGCTCTTTCCCTTGTTCACCTGCAGGGTTTAGAGGGGTCACAGCCAGCCATCACTTTACCACTCCTGGGTGAGGGTAGCTGATCCAGGACAGAGCATCCCCAGTTGCTGCCCCTTGGTTTCTGCACTTCGTGTGTGGTTCTGCTTCTGCATGGAGCATTTCGGGTCACACCTGAAGGGGGACACACCGGATTTAAGGAGAGAGCCTATGGGAGCTGCTCTGACTGGCTGCTTGCCTTCAGCTTCATCAAACAGCAAGTTTGGGTAAAATTTTAGGCTGTCCTGGGACTCAAGTAGAAATTATTGGTGGCTTGAAAGAAAAACAGCTAGTTTGCCTATTAAACCTTTGGTTCTTTCTTGGGGTACAGGTGACACAAGAAGTGCTAGTACCCGGTGACAAAATCCTGAGAATGCAACTTTGCCAAAATGATGGCAAGTTCAATGTTGTTCTGCCTGTGTTTGTTTCCTCGTCATTAGCCTAAGGAGGGCTCAGGGAAGATGAGACATCAGAGATGAGCAGCCAAATAGGATCCGGATTGCTTTAGTTCATTCATATTTTTGGGCTTTAGAGGCGGGAAGCTCAGGATCTGGTTGGCTTTTTGAGCTAACAGCATTCTCTGGATTTAATTTTCTCATTTGCATAAACAGAAAAGCTTGCAGTGTATTTATTGTGCTTCCTAAAGTGTTACCACAGTTATATGTTATTCCATCTGTCATGTAGCCAGTACTTTGCTTCACACCATGCAGGTCATTTGCTTATCATACCCTCCCTGGTTTGTGAGAAGTGCCCGGGTGGTTCCCTGTGGTGGGGCTGACCAGGGATCACTGTGGGCAGACCCAGGATGGATCCACTGTGTGAGCACAGGGCAGCTGCATATTGAGCAGGTGGGGAGGGTGCAGCCAAGCCTCCTGCTTTATCTCTGACTGTCACTCCCCAAACTCCCCACTGCAGCAGGGCTGGTCACAGGAAGATATTTTTATATCATAATGTGTGTGGCACCTATGGTGCAGGCAGTTACACAAGGAGCCCAGGAAGCAGATGCAGGCTCTTTCAGAGACCACCCAGTCAGCATAAACTTCAGTTTCAAGGGACACTGAACTATAGTGGGAAAATGTCATGAATGCATCACAAGAAATCAAGACCTCTTGAGGTTTTTGTTATAATTTATCAG